AGACAAAATTCTATCCTGTTGATGATTCTCATAGAAGACGTTGCTCCTACACATCCGTAACTGCCTTTCTTGCTCCAGTTGGTGGTTCTCACTGCAGAAGCTCAAAGCCCTTTTTACTCCACCTTGGCCTTCCATCTCTGACCTTTCAAGTCTTCCTGAAATCAAATTGCCAAATCCTGTTTTCTCCTGGCGAAGCATCTCCTAATCCTCCTAATTTAGACTGACAGGACTGAGCTACAATGTTCAATAATATATCTGCAGATGAAAAGAAGGGTGGCCTGAGGGGTATTCCAAGCAAGCTTCCAATTGCACAAACCAGACTAGAGAAGGCCTGTGCCTGTGCCTATCCCTGGGTGTGGGGGCCACATTTGCTACCCATTTGTAACTTTGACTTGTTCCTGGCCTCCAGGGCTGGGAGCTCAGGCTTCTGACTATATGGAAACAGATTATTTTTATTAATAATAATATCCTGATTTATAGAGTGCTTATTATGTGCCAGCCTGATTATAGAGTGCTTATTATTACCTTGCCAAGTGATGTTATATGTCTTATCTGATTAAATTATATATCTTTTTGCTTTCTGCATTCAGGGAGATTAGCAGGCTTATTCAGTGGCCAAAATAGTGAGTAAGACCAAAAACAGTACTTTGTTTTCATCTCTCCTTCATTCTTTTACTGGTAAACTTTTATTGAACCCCTACTATGTGTTTGGAATTGCATTGAGTGTAGGTCTCACCTTTATGGAATAAAAATTTCTTGGGAGCAGAAACATACAAATAAATACTACAATGTATATATGTTAAAAAATATATATAATTCAAATTCTACTAAACTCACCTTTTTAAAAATGTACAAGTCCGTGATTTTTAAGTTTATTTACAATGTGTAACCATCTAATTCTAGAACATTTACATCATCCCCCAAAAGAAACCCTTTACCTATTAGCAGTCACTCTCCATCCCCCTGCCCTTGGAAGCCACGAATCTACTTTCTGTCTCTATGGATTTGCCTATTATGGACATTTCAAATAAATGGAATTATATCAAAAGAGAGAGAGAGAGAGAAAGAAAGAAATGCATAGAAAGCAATCATATTTAAGAAATGGAGTTTGCCTAGGTAAATTAGTTAAAAGGATCTTCTACCTTCTCTAGATGGCTTCATTAGTAGAGTTCTGTAAGGGGGTGGCTTACAAAAGAATTTTTATCACCTTGAATCAGTCTCCTTGCTACAGAGCCATCTAGAAAGATCTGAATCACAAATAGGTGCTAATGACTCTCGCATTCAGAAGAGTATTTAACACCCTGCTCCTAGACTCTTTTTTGGTCCAAGGTTAGCTGCCACTCACACAGATAAAGTATGTTTTTGAAGAGTATTTATGAAGATGTATAAATGATCACCTACATAGGAAACAACAAGGAGAAAATTGTATATGAGTTATGATCCCACACTGAAACAAACAAGAAAACTCATTAGATAAACACATATGCAAAGACAAATATTCGGAGAAAATGTGATACATTATTAGAATAATTGGAAATTTTGTTTTTCTCCATATATCATTCCATATTGTGCACATCTATAAATATAATCACTCAGGAGTTTTATAATCAGAAAAAGTAAATATTTTATACAAATTAAAATCAAAAGAAGAATGAGTAAAAGTATACTTGGTATACTATATCTCTAATTATTGTTTTATTGAGTTTACCAATGACCTGTTTATGAGTCTAAGTAGTATGTTATATTATTTTCAAATATTTTTTTAATCCAAAAGAAAACAAAAACAAACAGGTTTTCTTTAGGTAGAAGTTCCTAATTCTAAACAGATCTTATTCACTATCTCGTCACCAGACTTGATTTCACACAAAATGGACTCTCACTAACTACCTATTAGAGAGAAAAAGAAAAGAAAAGTGACTGCCTGCTCAGATTAATAGTTTCACACACTCCTTTTTTGGAGACCATCATTTCCTTCAAGATTCTTCTTCAACTTCCTTGAAGGAGAAATTTAGCATCCAGACACATGCGCGCACAAGCACACACACACACACGGCCCCCCTAAGAATTTCTATTTTTTAAAAAATTCCTTGAAAATATAAAAAGTGCAGAGCTGGTGATGAAAACAGGAGGTAACTAGAAATGGGCACATGGAATCTGTTCGGAGTGCTGAAAATGTTTTGGAACTTGATTGTTGTGATGGTTGCTGGCATAACTCTGTAAACTGAGTAATAATCGTTGTACTGTACACTTAAAATAAGTGAATTTTATACCTCCATGAAGCTTACAAAATAAAAAATATAATTGCATTGGATACAGGAAAAAATTACTATAGCAGAAGAAAATGTGTGAGGAATCCTAAAAGCAATTAAGAAATTAAGGTTGTAGTGAAAGCCATATTAGACAGGCCCAGCTACATGTTTGGGGAGTCCCAGTACAAAATGAAAATCCAGCACTATTGTTTAGAAATCATTAAGAATTTCAAGATGGCAACATTAAACCAAGCACAGGGCCCTTCTCAGTGCCAGGTCCTGTGGGACTGTACAGGTAACATGCCCTGAGACCAGCCGTGAAGATTGGAAAAAGCATAGGCTGAAACATGGAAAGGAGAAGAATTCTAAGAAATTTGAAGGGAGCTCCAAATGAAGAATAAATGGATCCAAAGAGTGGATAGGGCTTGGTGGTGATCACGAGGAGAACTGGGGAAGACACATGTAGCAACATGGTAGGTCAGCACCTTCTTCCATTTCGGCTTATGCTGAATAATAGTTGAGAAGTAAGAGTAACATATACTTGCGGACTAAAACATCGAATGCAGGAAATGGGGTTGCGGAAGCATTTACCAAGAGCAGGATGAACTCACAAACTGAAAAGACATAAGGCCTTCGCTTCCCACCCCAGGGGCACAAACAAACCCTCTCTCACAATAACGGGAGAGAAGTTGCTCTAATGAGAAACTTCATTCACAGATGGGAAATCAGGAAGTTTTAATGCCAGTGTGAAATGAACAAGCAATAATCATAACATTTGCAAAACCCAAACACGGTGAAAGGAAGAAATTCTGCAAACAGAAAAATGAAAATCCATGAAAAAATAGAAACCATTTAAAAATTAGCATAATTAACATTTGCAAATAAATGTAAGGGATGATCCTATCTAAAAATATAAACAGAAGAGGTGTTTATGGAATAAAAACATTCACAGATCTTGATTTTTTAAAACCTAGACAATGGCTTACCTGTTCAGTCTATTAAAAGGATGTTTTGATAGATGATTCTAGTTTCAATATATTTTAATTTATCAATCTTACCCTTTACGGCTAGTGATTTTTGCAACTGTGTTTAAGAAATCTTTCATTATCCTAAAGTCAAAAAGACACTCCTATATGTTATCTAGCAAATGCCATCTCTCCTAGCCTTCTACATGTATAATTACAATTCACCTGGAATTGCTTTGTGCGCTGGGTAGGCTGAGAGGAAGTGAGCTTGTCAATTTCCTGCCCCCACCCCACTGTGCACAGATATTGAATATACCCAGCACCATTCACTGAAAGAACTGTTCTTTTCCCACTGCTCTTCAGTGCTGGCTGTGTCACAGAACATCCATATGTGAGTCTTTGTCTGTCTGGGTTTTCTACTTATTTACATTGAGTTTTCATTTATACTTTGTACAATGTCCATGTCTTAATTGTCCTAACTTCATATTAAGCCTTGATGTTCAGTAGTTTGTATCTCTCAACTTTGTCCTTCTTAAAGATTGTCTTGGCTCTTTTGGGCCCTCTGATTCACTATATAAATTCTAGAATCAGCTTTTTAATTTCCACCAAGAAAAAAAAAAGCTGAGATTTTTGAGTGGAAATGAAATGAGTCTATAGATTCATTTAGGGGAGTTGATATCTTTAAAATGTTGACTCTTTTCATCAGTGAACATCCCTCCATTTATTTAAGTCTATGATTGTCTCAATAATGCTTTCTAGTTTTCTTTTTTGAAGATTTGCCTAGGTACTTGATACTTTTTAATGCTATTTATAAAGGGCATTTAAATTGTTTTTTATTTTTTAAAATATTATAGTCTTTGTTGGTTAGAAATAAAACTGATTGTTTTTATATGACCATATCTGTAGACTCTTGGGATTTTCTACATAAAGAAATGTATCATCCACTAATAATGACAATTTTATTTATTATTTTCCAATCATACTTCCTTTTTTATTTTTTTATTTTTTTATTTTTTATGTTTTTTAAAGATTTTATTTATTTATTTGAGAGAGAGAGAATGAGAGATAGAGAGCACGAGAGGGAAGAGGGTCAGAGGGAGAAGCAGACTCCCCACTGAGCAGGGAGCCCGATGCGGGACTCAATCCCAGGACTCCAGGATCATGACCTGAGCCGAAGGCAGTCGCTTAACCAACTGAGCCACCCAGGTGCCCCATACTTCCTTTTTTAAACCTTATTGCTCTGGCTAGAACTATAGTATAAAGTTGAATGGAAGTGGTGAGTGCAAGAATTCTTGTCTCATTTCTAATCACAAAGTTTTATAAGGTATGGCTAAATCAACTTCAATAAATTATACTATATGACCTTACAAAATTGTTTTATGATTTTGTACTTCCAATGACAGGGCAATAGTTCTAGTGGGAATACTAAGCGTCTATGTGAATCTAGACTTCTAATAGTCTGTTTTTATATTTCTCCATTCTCCCTTCCATTTCAAAATTCAACCACTGGAAGAAAACACAAAACCATTACAGAGATTTGCTTCTGAGCATGAAGTGAAAATGAAGAGGTTTGAGGACAGGGGTGAGGTTGGACAGAAAGCAGGATCCAGAAGGACGTATTTGGTTTACTCCATATTCTCCCATATTGTTACATTCCTCATATCACTAGAATACTCTAGTGTGTCATTTTTAATTCCTAGGAAAAAAATTGGGAAAAAAGAAGGGTAAAATAAAAATAGTATTTTAAATGAATGAACTTGAAAACATTAAAATTACTTAAGTGTACATGAGCAAAGATGCATTTTTATTTTTACTTCACAGGATCTTGGCTAATGACACAGAAAAAGACCAAGTGCAGGTATGTACTCCACAAATCTAGATATAATTGCAACCTTCCACTGCCCTCATAGTCTGAGGCTTTCCTTCACACCCAAGAGAGGCTTGTGGTAAAATAGTATATGAAGAAGACACATCTTCACAAACTTACACTTCATTTGAAGTTTTTTATTTTAGCTTTTCTACAAATTATTTGGAATATTTAAGTATGGGTTTTATAACATTAAATAATTATCTGGATCTGAATGTTTGTTTTTAAAAAAAACTGATTTTCTTCCCAATACAATTTCATAGTGATTTTCCACTGATGAAAAACCACAGTCATATTTCTTTTCCTACATATTTTGAAAAATGAAACTAATGAGACTCTGGAAGCCAGACAGTATTTAATCTTCAAAAATGCACTTAAACATAATTATATTCAGATCTCCCCCACATTTTTACCTGCTTTGAAGCTCTCTTCCATGGCACAAAGATTTTATTGGACGATATTGGAGGGCTTATCAGCTGGCATGCTATTAATTCTATCTTGTCAGTATTGCTTTCATTGGTGCAACAAAAAGAAAATTGCATGATATTCTCCTTTTTAAGTCCAATTCTTTTTACAAGTTTTGTGTACTTTTCTCTCTTCCTAGGCAAAAATTTTCTTTTAAAGAATGTCAAGTTCTTGTGTGAACCTAAATGCAATGGTAATGAAAATAGTGTTTGAGTGGGTTCTTGGACTCCTCATCTGACAGACTGGCTAGAAGACTGGCCTTTTGGTACAGGAGGACTCCTGAGCATGTCCTTTTAGTGCGATCCTTTCTCTAAGCCATCCCTTTTTATGAAGGGATGCGCTATTGAGCTATTGTTCTATTTGTAAATGGCTCCATATTGTATAAAAACAGAGCATGTCATTTCATGCACATATTGAAGGGAGAACTCAACTGTGCTACAGAAGAGCTGGTTTTAAACTTGCTTAGTTTCTCCTCATCAACTAGATGATTCTTGAGGCCTGTTGGCTCACCTGGAAATGAGGTATTTGTATTTGATGATGCCTAAAAGCCATTCCAGTTCTAATAATCTATATAAAGATTAAGAAGGGAACTATTCTATTAATTTCTTAATGATGCAGCTTTAAGTTATAGTAGAAGGAGAAATAAGGTGGTTTTCAAATTTTTATTTATATTTGAATGGAATCAAGCAGTTAGGTGGGAACACTGATATGTAGCCGTGATATATTTTGTGATACCTTTTGTTGAAAGAAACAGTTTGGAAGGATGCCCTAAGTTTGCTTTTCCCCCCCTCACTCCTGGACTTCCTACACAACCCTCCATTTCTAGAAATAAGGGGAAGAAATAAGGGCTTCCTACACAATCCTCCATTTCTAGAAATAAGGGGAAGTCTTGAGCAATTGGTTTCAAACTGGGCTTGTAAAACCTTAGAGTTCTACATAGCCTTTCAGAGAGTTTACAAACATTTGATATGAATTTCCCTTTTTAATATAGATATAAAACATATATCTTTATTTTAAAGTATAGTATTTACTTATTTAACAAATATTCACAGAGTGCATATTTTTTTAAAGATTTTATTTATTGATTTGGCAGAGAGACACAGCGAGAGAGGGAACACAAGCAGGGGGAGTGGGAGAGGGAGAAGCAGGCTTCCCGCTGAGCAGGGAGTCCAATGCGGGGCTCGATCCCAGGACCCGGGGATCATGACCTGAGCCGAAGGCAGATGCTTAACGACTGAGCCACCCAGGCGCCCCTCACAGAGTGCATATTATATGTTGAGAAGAGTCCTCAGGTCTCAGAATTCAGGAATAAACAGAAACAGACAAAAATCCCTGCCCTCCATTAAATTTATATTCCAGTAGTGGTAGGAAGGAAGGAAGGAAAAAAGAAAAAAAAGAAAGAAAGAAGAAAGAAAGAAAGAAAGAAAGAAAGAAAGAAAG